GGATTCTGATGGCTTCCATTCGAGCAACTGGAGCAAATATTTCATCATAGTCGATCCCTTCTTCTTGATTATAGCCTTGAACTACTAACCTTGCCTTGTTCCTTATTGTGTTCCCAAACTTATCAAGTTTGTTTCTGAAGACCCACCTAGTTCCTATAACAGTTATGTCTGATGGTCGAGGAACTAGGTGCCATACGATGTTCCTCTCAAATTGATGGAGTTCATCTTGTATAGCATTAATCCAGTCAGCATCTTTCAATGCTTCCTTGATATTTTTAGGCTCAATTTGAGAGAGAAAGGCTGAGAAAGTAAGTGAATTTCTTGACTTTGATCTGGTTTCAATCCCTGAGTCAAGAGGAGTGATCACATTTTGAAGAGGATGTGAACTCTTGTGTTTCCAGTTAGACACCTGAATCGCATCCTTATGTCTCACATTGGGGTGTTCTTGGAGCTGAAAAATTATGACTTATACCATTTTCAGCATAGAACTCGTCAAATTTTGCATTGTCAAACTATGTACCGTGATCAGATCTTATACTCACAACATTATGGCTCATCTTCACTTGAATCTTCTTCACAAAGGCAGCAAATACTGGAAAAGTTTCATCCATGGTTCTGAGGAACAAAGTTCAGCTGAATCTGGAGTAGTCATCCACTATGACAAAAATGTACTTCTTTCCTCCTCTACTTGGTACCCTCCAAGGTCCACACAGATCCATATGAAGGAGATCAAGTGGCCTTGAGGTGCTTACTTCCATTTTGGTCTTGAAGGAGGACCTGACTTGCTTTCCTTTCACACATACATCACACACCTTGTGATCTTTAAAACTTGACTTAGGCAGCCCATGAACCAGGTCCTTCTTGACTAATTTGTTCAGCAACATAAAACTTACATGTCCCAATCTTCTGTGCCAAAGTTCAGCATCATCATCAACAGCACTCAGACATTTGAGATCTCCATTATACAAGGACTCAAAATCAGCAACATAAATGTTTTTGTATCTTTTGCCATCAGGACCACTTCACCGGTCACAAGATTTGTGACTGTGCAGATTTTTGACACAAATTCCACTTTGTTTCCGTTGTCGCAGATTTGAGAGATGCTCAGTAGGCTATATTTCAAGCCGTTCACATAATACACATTTTTAATTGAGTGGGTGAGTGTCTTCCCAATTCTTCCTACTCCCAAAATGTATCCTTTTTTGCCATTGCCAAAGGACACACTCCCTCCTTGCAGGGCTTTGAGTGAAATAAAATCATCGATGCTTCAAGTCACATGCTTGGAACAGCCACTATCCAAGTAACATTTTTGGCTGCTTCCTTTCACTGCTTCCTGCACAAGAGAATCAATGATTAGACTTAGGAACCTAAACAAGTTTGGATCCCTTGTAGTGAGGAAAAGGGCGAATTAAGCTTCTTCTTGTCCAGGCAAGCAATACACATTTTTTTAATTAAGGGACCAGGTTCTTTAACATCAGTTACCTTTACAACAAACCTTGTTTTTCTATTAGGACTGAATTCTAGCCTTACAGTTTTTCTTAAAGTGTCCAGTGTTGCCACAGTGAGTGCATGGCTAGTTGTCAGGGGCAGTAACATACTTGCTATGTGAATTGTATGGAGTCTTTTCCTTTTGGAACCCGACTTCCTGCATGTTCCCACCATTGCCTGCATACATGGCAGTAATTATATCAGAGGACCAGGTCCACTTTACAGATTTTTTTAGGTCATTTTTAACTCTGCCTAGATCTTCTTGAAGTTGTCTGTTTCTTTCAAGTTCAGCACACAGACTAGATTTCACAGATTTGAGTTCATTTTCAAGCTTAATATGTGCCTCGCTTGCAACTTCCTTTCCCTTTTGGATAATCCTAGAATTATTTTTCCTTTTTAATTCCTCTATTATTTCTTTTAGATCCATGACAACTATCAACAGGTCATCTCTCTCATTTTCTACGTCTTCAATTTTTTAAGTCAGAACATCCTTTTCTTTCATTAGAACCTCGATGGTTTCTTTTAGGTCAGCTACTACGATTACCAGATCATCTCTCTCATTTTCTACCTCTCCTAGTTCCACAGTTAAAGCATTTTTATTATTTATAAGACTGTGATAAGAATCAATTAAAACATTTGCCAGAGATATAAGCTTTTTTTTAGAGTAAGAATTCAGATTTCTTTGAACGTCTAGAAAGTTTATATCATCATCATCATCATCATCTTCATCATCATCAGATTTTTCCATCAGGGCAAAGATAGAGTCATATTCAGCTGCTTCACTTTCAACTGTCATCATGGAGGTATCACCTTGGGCATCATCTTCTCCAGATTCGCTGGAAGAATCTCCCCATGGAGCAAGAGTTTGTTTCACCACATTGTCAATAGCTTCTTTTCTCTTGAATCTTTTGTGAGGAATCGGGTTCCTCTTGGCAGTTTTGTATGTGTTGTGCTTGTGGAGAGGAAAGTACTTGATGAAGTGTCCTGGCTTTCCACATTTATGACATAAGTCATACCCTCTTGGCTTGCTAGAGCTGCCCTTTTTTGGAATACCTCCATTCCTGCGAACCATTTTCTGAAATCGCTTTGTCAGGTAAGCCATATCAGCATCCTCACCACTTGAGTCATTATTGTCAGCCTTAAGGATCAGGTTCTTCTCCTTCTTGGGTTCTCTTCTTTCATGGTCCTTCTTTTTCTTCATTTCATATGTCTTCAGATTTCCAATAAGTTCATCAATGGTTAGCTTTTGTAGATCATTTGCCTCTATGATAGCATTGACCTTGTGTAACGACCCGGCTGGTCGTTATGAGTATTTTAACCCCAATCCCCTAAATTATATTTCCTCTATGCTATATCGTGGTGTTGCAACTTACTGGGGTGTTTGTTTTTTGGATTCAGAGTGAAATGGGACACATAGTCCCTAAGTTAAAGGTTTAAGTTGTAAGAGTTGACTGTAGTTTGACTTTTGTGTAGACAACCTCGGAATATAAATTTTATGATTCCAATAGTTCCGTACGATGACTTTAGACTTAGGGGCTCGAGGTGCAATTTGTAATTTCGATGTTCTTTGATGAAATTTGAAAACTCGAGTAGGTCTGTGTTATGTTACGGGACTTGTTGGTATATTCGGACGGGGTCCCGAGTACCCCGAGTGTGATTCGGATCGAAATCGGATCAATTTTTGGACTTAGGCAAATTCTGAAATTTGCAGCTTCTGGTGTCACCGCACCTGCGGAGAGACTGATCGCAGATGCGAACTCGCACAAGCGAGTTGTGGCTCGCAGAAGTGGACAAAGGGCTGCCCAGATGGAGTCGCAACAAAGTGGTTGCTGCAATGTTCATACTGTTGCGTGTGTGCAGAGGAACAGTTGCAGCGACTTTACAACTGTGAGCAGTTGACTGGTACAGTCGGCAAGGGAACTGATGTCCATTTGTTCCCTCATTCGTCTCTTTGACCCTGATTGTTGGAACTTGTGGTCGACTTGAAACTTGTTGTTCTTGAACACTTTGAGGATGTGTAACAGGTTTCCCATCTCGCTCTTATCATTAAGTTTGTTAGATCATTAAAACATACATAACAGGACACATGACCTATCACTATGTCCTCCCCAGTAAGGTGAATTGTAAAAGTAGCTATCATATAATCCCCTGGAAGTCAAATGATAAAAATAAAAAAGTTTTATTTGTCATTCATGTATTCTTTGATCCCAAGAATATATAGAAATAAACATGCAAATTACATGTATTCATTTTCTCCATTCTCAAGATCAGAACAAAGTTTGTTTGGTTGTAGCTTCTCGGTAAACTAATATACAAAGCAACTGACATGAATAAAGTACAATAAAAAGAAAAGAAAAGAAACTCCAAAAGCTATGCAAAAGGATACCATTCCTACAAGAATTACATATTAAAAAAAGATTTAAATTTTTTTAAAAAAACACCAATATAGTGAGTAGAATCAATAAACTTTGCTAAAAAAAATAGTACATCTATTTTATTTCTAGTAAACAAGAGAATTAGGTAAAATGAATTACCGAAAAGTAAAATAGACGGACCTAATTTGACTGCTGAAGTGGCACTTCCATTGCAAGTGCTAAGAAAGAAAAGATGGTAAATATGCATTACAATGCATATATAGGCCGAATTTTCATCAATGATTAATTAAGGAGTAGCAGAAAAAATAATTTAGTAGTGGAAAAGTCACCAACGTGGCTGTTAGATTTCTCACTATTGTCAAAAAGAAAATGTGGCTGTTAGATTTCTCACTATCATTTACTAATCACACATACATTGCACAATAGTATTATTATAAGGAAAAGAAATTCACCCCCAAAAAGAGTTAGTCCAAGGATAAACGAACCAACAAAAATGAGGTATAACTGTTGTTCATTCAATGGACAACAAAAATGTGGAATTGAAAAATAGGCTCTTCTTCTACCCCTAGAGTTCACATTATTAGGCGTGTAGAATATTTTTACTTAATCATTATTTATTTGAATGTATATTTACATTTTGATACAAAAAGTAGTGTTTAAATGAAGGGTAAGATGGTCGTTTGAAATTTTTATGGCATTTTGGTTCTTTAACTTTCACTTTGGACATCTCATTTATAATATAGTATAATAATATAGATAGATAGATATTTCTCAGAAGCTCAAGCAAATTTGAGTCCATGAATATTTTGCTTATGTATACTATTTAGATCATGAAATCTATGTCAAAGAGGAAGGGATATCTAGTATGTTTTCATAAAATAGTTTTTACATTTATAAGATTAAGGGGAAGACTCTAAAATTAAGAAACGATAGGAGTACTTTATTTGAAATGGATAAAATCTTATAGTTTATTTAAGAGAATTTAATTCTACCTCGATGTACAGCCACCATTTTGCATTTGATTGTACGCGATTATCTTGAATAAGTTATAGACCATGTCCATAGGTTATTGCTGATAAACTCAACGAATTATCTGAGACACTCCTTATGACCTAAGATAAATATGTGCCACAATACTAATGTATCTGAATCTCAATTCTTTATTGCATTAATATCACAACAATTACAACCGCTCAAAAATCAACAGATGTAGAAAATAACTTTGGATCTCCCTCCTTACTTAATTCAATGCTAACCAGACGAGAACTGATTGTGTAAAAATGACTAGTCAAGATCTATCTGTTTGATAATTTAGTTCGGTAGCAATCTTTACCTGAAGAGAAAATCAGAACATTTAACATCACATATCACAAAGAACAAATCAAAATCTGTCAGACCAAATTTATAGAACTTTTTTTTCTACGCAGACCTGTCATCTAGCTTGAATTTCTTGCAGACTGCAAGGAAAAAAGATAATATCAGCCATGAGGGGAAAAAACTGTTGGAAATTGCTTCATATAACAAAGGGAAGTGTATTAAGCTTACAAGTAGTTCATGATCTCCCATAATCTCATCAATTAACTCTTGTAATGGCTTGTCCGCGCTGTTTTGAACTAGAGCAGCAAAGACGGGATCTTCAAGCCCTGTAAAGAAACAGGAGTATGACCAGAGGCCAATGGAGCTAGCTTTTCAACAATGTGTTCAACTGGACCTAGTATTTTCGACATGGCATAAAGCTATATATGTGAAAACCAATAATTTTTCAACAAATATTAATTTCTGAACCCATAATTCAAAGTGCGATAAGTTTAGTGCCAAGAACTTAAAAAGTTAAATCCGTTAAGTTTAATTCCTAGATCTGCCTCTGAGTATGACCATGTAAAATGTTAGGATCGGGAACCCGGGTAGTGCGGAATTTAGCCAAACAACGGTATAATGACAATAACAAAGACAATGGAAGTTGATAACAACGACAATTAAAGTAGATAAAGAAAACACAAATTTAACGTGGTTCGGTCAAAGTGACCTACGTCCACAAGCGGAGAGGAGCAATTTACTATAACAATAAGAGTACAAAAGAGAGTACAAAATTAGAGTAAACACTCTAATTAATCCCAAATACCCTAAGAGAATAACCTCACAAGATCACTCCAAAGAAAGGGTTCACACAAGTGCTTCCCAACACTTAACTCTCATACAAAACACTCTTAATAAAGGAAGAAAGGAAGAAACAAGAAATGAAGACTGAAGTCTTGTTGGTGTGTCTAAAATGAACTAATGGCCTTCCCTTTTATAGGCAAAAAAGTCTTGACCTCTTAGGTGTAAAAGAAGAGATACAACTTGTGCAAATGATGTCCAACACACAATGCAATATTTTTGGGTCCCAAAGAATATTGCCAACAAAGTCTACACTTTGCAAAGATACTTATGCTTATATGAGATGGACTCCATTTAACAAAATAATGGCCATATTACATAAAAGATCATTTCAGACGCGACATTAAACTGAAAAAAGAAAGTTCATAAATGATGAAAAATCGATTGAATGCCTTAATTGTCATTACTCGGCAGGAAGATTACCATTTATGTAAGATTAAACGATTTGCATTTGCAAGATGTAGCGTGAAATGTTATGCCTTTGCAGATTAGTATGTTGTGTATTGAAGTAGCAACCAAGAGAGATCCTTCGACTCATGTGTTTTCCTAATAAATTTTTTATGATAATCTGTTTCTCCACCTAAATTTAAGATAATGCTGTATTGAGACCGTACAGTGTTTAGAAATACTGGATTTTCCTTTTCACACATTTTTAAGAGAACTGGCAGTTCTTCCCTGCAGGCACTTTTTTTTTTTTTTTTCAAAAAGTGAGTTTTTCTGTTTAGACATAAGTGTTTCGTCAATTTAAATGCAGAAAAAAAGAACTATTTACCACTTTCTTCGAATGCGTCAATAAACATCATCATCTCCTCTCCCGTAAGGCCAGACAGGAAGCAAATTCGTGGAAGCTGTTTAGCGATCTGCATAAATGATACCTCCTCATTAGAGTAACGATGAGTCTGTTGCTTAGGCAAGCAATTTCCGTTTCTTATGACAGTTTATTAACTCAGGAGAAGGCACGGATAAGCATATACTAAAACAACAACAGCACGGCAATTACATGATAGTTGGGGCCGGCTTTATGAATACTCAATATCCTATGTCGCTCCATTTGGAACTGCTTCATTTTGATACTCAATAGTCTGTGGTTCTTTAACAGAGGGCTCTCGACATTTTCTACTGACATACAAATCCAATGGTAACCTATTGCAATGATCAGCATTAAGGTCAGTAATCTTTCAGTTTGAAACACTACTTGTTGGATTAACTGAATTGCTAGACTACAATATCTCGATATTATTTACAAAATCTCCAAAATTTTAAGCATCATAAAACTATTTTTTATATACTACACAAGTTAAATGTTTATTAAATAACATATAAACGGAAAACTTAAGGTGCTGTTGCTCCTAGACTGAGCACGTAAAACTAAGTTATTGTACTTTAATACATAGGGATTTTATTGTACTATTTGGGACGCTTACATGAGTTTTTGAAGAAAAACGAGTCAGAACATGCATACCTTCAAACCTGGGGTCAGGAAGAAAAATGCTGATATACACTCATAAGAGGCTCTAGCCTATTTCCACAGACCAAGGAGGCTGTAATATGCTTTTTTAACTTAAAAAGTTACAAAAATTAAGCAGTATATTCACATGTTCTGCAGAACAAACTTAGGGCTTAGGTTTCGAATCATAATGTTTGCAAGCTGTATCTTCTATTTACTATTTTATTTTTGGTAACCGAGAAATCCACTGTTTACAAGTTTCGAAACTCAGTGTAAATAGACCCGTCTTGTATTGTCTCCACTTAAATACTATGATTGGCTCACCAGCCAGGACTCGAACTCGTGACGTGTGCTTACCATACATCATGCCATGTGCTACCTTTGCCATTTAACCAAATCCCTGGGGGCTCTTCAGTTTACTATTTTTTTCTTCTTCTACTGAAAAATGTTTGTTTCTCGAAAAACTGAAGCTCAAAGCACGGCCAAACACTAGTTATATTCATCCATGATCATGTCAACAGTGGGTGTATGCAATGGTGTGTGCCATTATAGTACTAGATATAAGAAGATAATCTCACATCTCAACAGCCCGGTGAGTGCAGAAGCACAATGATCTATCAAAGAATTCAGTTGACTGACCTTTGAAGCATCCAAATTGGGCTGTTTCGTATTCATTGCTTCCCAAAGTGAGCGAGAAATCATGTCTTCAGTACAAAAAATGACCTGCAGCATATATGCTTATTAAATGTAACTTCGAATTGAAATTCAAGAAAATGACATTTAGAAATGCACAATACCATCAACTACATGAAATTTCTAGTTAAACAAAAAGAAGCACACAAGAGCAATGAGATGTCTAGTGAAATTTACTTGAAGGAATTCACCATCCATCTCCTTCAGAAGTTGCTGTATCTGCAACAAGGTAAGCGTATCAGGATCAGTTATGGATTCTAATGAATATCTAGGACGCAATTTTAGTTACTGTTCTAAGTTTTTTTCCAACAAGCATGCTGCACTGACCCCAAAATTACTAGCATTAAGAGGGAACCTAAACAAAAGAGGAAGATCTAGAAGGAAAAAGCAGTTGGGAAGAGTGACCTAATAAATTCCTCAGCATATGAAAAAGAAAATGCAGTTCATCCTTCTATGAATATCAAATGAAAAATAATACAGACACTCTATGAATATGTAATCATCCTTGTGTTATAGTTTATCAAAATTGAATTTACCTTTGCTGCCTCGTCCACTTCAAATCCCAGCAACAACAAAGCCTGTGTAATTGGTAATTCACGAGGTGTTGATTTAAGATTATAAATTGAGCAAAGTATACCAGAAAATCACCAAATATGTGCTAATCTTTCTAGAAAACTTTTAGCTTGAAAGGATAACATTTGAAGGCCATCCCAAAATCGCCATCATGTATTGGCTCTTATACACCATAGTATACAGTCATTAAAGCAAGATATCCTTCCCTTTGCAGTAACTTCTTCTCTAGAACAAAAATAAATTTTGATACGTCTTAGAAGATACAGAAAACTCAAAAATTTCAGCTCCTTCAGAAATGCCAAGAAGTTCGAATTCTGATAGCTGATTTCAACATTTAAAAATGAAAATATTACACACATTTATGTCCATGTTTGTGTCCATAACAAAATGATAAAATACAGATAGAAATGCTCTCACTCATTAAATTAGTACTCAAATGAGCTCCACATAGGAAAAAGAAGATAAAGAAGCTGTCCGCAACTTAGGCAAAGAAATACTCTATTGTACTGCATTCGATAACGAGTTGCACATCTTCTTCGCCAGATATTAAGCAGGACACTTGTTGAGCCCTAGATATGTAATTCTCTCCACTTATATTTCCTTGGTTGAGAATATAACTAAAAACATGCATTTTCTCACACAATTTCATAGCAGTTCCCACATATCTTGTTCCTATTGGAAGTTGCTTTTTTAGAGGATCAACCAAAACAAATGGAAAGATGAAAAGAAATGACTGATGCTACTGTAAAATAACTAACCAGAACTTACAGGTGGACCATATTTTGGATATTCAGGATTTACAGAAACAAACTTAGATTCTTCATCAGTAATCTCAGAGGGAAGGCCTGAAAAAGAGGGCATTGCGTTAGAACGAAATGGTGAACAGAAATTGAATGAACAACAAAAACAGATGCCAAATAGGCAAAAGTTATTCAAATAAACAGTGGCTTCAAAACCTCATCTACAAAGTTAATGATAGAAAATAACATGACGAAAGATAGAAACTCATTTGAAAACATGGATTGTTATAGCTAATTCTATTTAACCATAAATTCAGGGGATCATAATGTGTAGATCCCTCTAGCTTTTGTATATTTAATTATAAATTTTGCATCAAATCTCAACACTAACAGATATATGTTATTAGATATAAAATTCCTCTCATATTGATAAACCTATTCGCTGTATCGAGGTGCCAATTATCAGCTTTTGGAGTTAAATTAGAATTACATGAAACGTTCTTTTAAAAAAATTATACGTTTAGAAACTCTAAGAAAAGTACAAGTTGTTGTTCTTCCCTTTTTCCTAATGACAAGAAAGATTATGTGAAAAGGTAAGTAAAAATTGTTTGGTTGATTCTCAGGAAGCAAAATAAGAGAACAATTTGAAATAAAAAGATCTTTTTTTAAAACTAGAAACCTGGTTCTACCCCTACCTTTACTGTCACAATCCTATATCCTCGAGCATCAAGCCACCTATTGTAATGTACCAATCAAATGGAAATCAAGCAGAACTTCAGTTCCTGATATAATGTCAAAGTCGGCAAATCTATTACTACCATTGTAGCTATCTAGTATTTCACACTTGGCATTTGCTACACCTAAACTAGGATGTTTCAGATGTTGCATTAAACATGTGCACAAAATCTGCATTAAAAACAATTAGATCTAGTATGTCGTCATCAGTAGCAATTTGAAGCCATTCTTACTTCTAATAAAAGGAGTTGATCATGGACTATTGGTAAGCCAGGGACGGATCTAGAGTTTAGGTTACAGGTTAGGCCGAACCCAATAGTTTTGGTTCAAATCCTGTATTTGTCTTATGAAATTCATTGAATATGTACAAATTATTAATTTTAGAACCCAATAACTTAAAAAAACTAGAATCCTGAACCCGTAAGCTTCAAATCCTGCATCCGCCTCTGGCCGCATTAAACAAGAAGTTTGAGTACATTATTGAAGGTAGTTGGAGATAATTAAAAGTAAAAGTGGAAACTTTTACAGAGTGGAACAGATAGTTAAAGAAATCACTCATACATATAACATAAAAAGATTAGTTTAAATTGCTAGACTCTATTAGATCTCAAAACATTTTACTCCCCCATCATATTTTACATGACACTATATATCACTATTTAGCGAATCAAACTTTTCCTTTACCACAATTCTTTCAAATGTTTCCTAAATACTTTTAGATTATAATTTCTAGTACTGTTAGATTATAAATAATTTTTTGAGCCGAGAGTCTTTCGGAAATAGCCTCTCTACTCCCTCGTGATAGGGGTAAAGTCTTCGTATACACTACCTCCCCAGACCCCACTAGTGGGTTTTACTGGTCGTCGTTGCTGTTGTTGTTTATGTAGTTTCCAAATAAGAAAATTTATCTCCAATAGCTGTTGAAACCATGTCCAAAATTGACACCAAAAAGGAATTTTTTGACCCTCCTGATCCTAACCCCATCATTCTTTATCTTATGAAGCCACAATCTTGCACTCTTAAAAATATCAATTCTTTAACCAAAATACAAACTCAATCTCTCAAGTGGGAAAAGAAAAGCGGTATATTTCATATGAACAAAAGAACAAGAATTTAGATGCAAAAATAAAGAAGGAGAAAGACAACATAAAAGTAGACTTACCATCAGAAGCTGCTGCTATGGGAAAGTGTTGCTTAAGCCTCAAATGGTGGCCATTTTGGGTGGAGAAAAAAGCTGTGATATGGGAATTCTTGATATAATTTGATAAAATTGGTTGCTTATTACAGTGCAATCTACAGAAGAAGTTTCCATAGGTTAAGCTGATTGAAGAAGATGCCATCACTTATCTTTTCCACCCTTTATTTCTCTATCTATTTGCTTACAACTAAGTAGTAGTGCTATTTACCGTTAAGAGCGTTATCTGTTTGCTGTTCTTTTTCGAATTTTTTTCATGACTGTTCTTTTTAAGTTTTGTGTCACACACAATTGTAAATTCTTTTGTTCCCACCCCGGTGTCCACTATTTTAATTGGTCCGACTAAATCCGAATTAGTACCGGAAAGATCTTCGTTGGGGGTTAAAACGCTCTCTAACAAAGGCGACTCCATAGTTAGAGTTCGAACCCGAAACTTTTAGTGAAGAATGAAATAGTACTTATCATTCCACCACAACCCTTGTTAGTCACAAATGTAAAATCACTATAACTATAAATTCTTGTCTATTTTCTTTTTTCTCTTTATAGTGAAAATTCCAATTTACAACTTCAAATAAAATGTTCATTGTTTGGCTCAACGTATTACAGTGGCTTTTTTTTTTCCCACAATGGCTTTTTTGACTAACCATTTTGTTTCTTCCTTTTTTTTTTCTTTTTTTGCTTACTCTTCTCATTTTTTAAGAATTTATTTCTAAAATAAAAGTTAAACATTATCAATTTGTATTTTCTACTTCTACCACAAATATATTTTGAGAAGTATTTTCTATATATTTATCAATATTTAAACATTTATATTTTAGGAAGTTTTGCCTATAAGTGGCATATAAGTCAGACAATTTATTTTTAGGAAGTATTGATGAGAAAATAATAAAAATGGTCCCTTATGATTTAAAGTATGTTTGAAATTGTCATTAAATATACTCCTAGACCAGTTATGGTCTATTAAGTTCGGCAAAAGTGAGTACTTTTGATCTTCTTCATATATTTAAAAAAACTTAATTGTTAGATTTAGCGATAATTATGGAAAAAGTAAGATTAACAAAAATTCAAATTTAGAGGTGTAAATTTTTTCATTTTCTGCTATTCTTCTTTTTATCTATTTCTGTTGTTTAGTTTATTTTTTAAGATGTAATTTCTGCTATTTTGTGAATTTCTTATGTTAGTTTTCCATGTTGCAGTTTCTCGGAATTCACTTGACTTTTCTGATTTTTACGGTTAATTTCTGCTACTTTTGACAAACTTATCGGGCCAAAATATTTGAGGAGTATATTCGAGGTACTATTGTAATATAGTTTGATTTATTATAAAATTTAAGAAAAATAATAAGACTTTTGAAACTTATGGTCATAAAAGCTTAAAGCATAAAAAAAAAAATGGGCCATAATATTTATGTGGTCATGAAATTGGGTGAATGACACAGTTACCCAAAAAAATAAAATGATTTACCCTTATCTACCTATATGTTTTTCTACCCATCAAACTAATTACATTTCCTACCCATGATAGTTTTTGTGGGAATTTTCTCTTTTTTCTCCAATTCTTTTTTATCTCAATGCTTCTTTCCTTTTTTCCTTTTTTCTTTCTTTTTTCTCGTTTTCTTCTTATTTTTTTCTTTTTTCACTTTTATTTATATATTTTTGCCCAAATCGTATTATTGTTATTTTTATCATAACTTATTTCACACTCAATTTTGACTCCTTCTTTATTTATTTTCTTTTTATTTATTTATTTATTTTATTTCTTGTTCTTTTTCTAATTCCACGTGATTGCCATGCAAACCGTGATCTCCTTCCCTACAAATATCAGTACACACTCTACCATTAGCAGTAACACAACCAGTTATGGAGCAAAACATAATCTACAGCAACCAAATCTCCATATATACTAGTTAGAATAGAAATGATAATAAAATATTAAAAAATACAATAAAAGTATAAGTAGCAAAAAAGACTTCTAGTACCATATGATATCAATATGGTATACATGTATACCAACAGAGTATATGATTGCTCTAGAATATTGCTACAACTATCTGCGACTATACTACTGTACCAAAACATTAAAGGATGCAATAAGAGTATGAGAAATTACATGCTCGCATTGCAAGCTAAATATTCGCAAAGCAACTTGCTCATTCCGTATACTAACATGGTATATAGTTGTATGGGGTCGTTCCAATAATTGCCTATAACTATAAAAAACTATTACATAATACACATAATCTATGTCCATCGGCACAAAAAAATTCAAGAATTCATAACAAAAACTATTACATAATACACATAAATAATTCAAGAATAGAATTCACTTAAAATGCAGCTAAAACAACCAAAAAAATATTTAAACTACCATATGATACCAATATGGCATATAACTATACCAACATGGTATACGATTTTACTGGTTAATTTCTGGCAACTATATGACTATACTACTATTACATAGCACACATGCATAAAGAGAAAAATAAAAAAAATAGTGTACCGCCTATTAATATAATAAAGTATTTCAAGATATTGTAATATATTACTATTATTAAAAGAAAATCAAATAGTGTACCAATTAAATGCAGTTAATACAACCAAAAAAAGATTCAACTAACATATAATACCAATATAGTATATAGTTATACTAATAGGGTATATAGTTGTACGGGGTCGTTCCAACAACTGCATATAACTATAAAAACTATTACATAATACACAAAATCTATGTCCATAAGTACAAGAAAATCCAACACAGCAAAATATGATCATCTAAATTATTTCAGAATAGAATTTACTTAAAAATGTAGGTAAAACAACCAAAAAATATTTCAACTACCATGTGATACTAATATGACATATAATTATACCAAATAGGGTATACAGTTCTACTAATTAATTCCAGGCAACTATATATGATTACACTACTATTACATAATACACATGCATAAAGAAAAAAATCAAAAAAATAGTGTACCACATATTAATATAATAATATATTTCATGATATTGTACTATAATACTATTATATAAAACAAACGCATAAAGAAAAAATCAAAATGATTACATAATACATATGCATAAAGGAAAATAATAAAAAAATCAAGATATTGTACTATTCTACTATTACTAAAGAAAAATCATACAGTGTACCAATTAAATGTAGCTAATACAACCCAAAAAGGTTCCAACTAACATATGATACCAGTATAGTATATGGATATACCAACAGGGTATACAGTTGTAAGCTAAGAGTTTAAAAAAAGTTTTTTAATTCAATTATTAAACTGAATTAATATGAGTTGTCACATAATCTAATTAACTCAATTTTGTGTGTCATCGATTATACTAAAATTTAGATATGTTATAATAATATACTATATACCATTTTGAAATGGAGAATAAATTAATAGAAAATATTTAATGGACAAGTAGATCCTATTATGAAATGAGAAAGATAGAAGAAAAACGTTTATTTATATTTGAGAAGACAATGAAAGAGAAAATAGGTTGGGGCAATTAATGAGGTTTCACGTGATCCGAGATTAGAAAGGAAAGGATTTTGAAAATAGGTAGTTGGGTAAATATTTTAGATTGTATAGGTACACATTGTAAGACAGATTAGAATGTGCGGTAATGAGTAATTAAAATTAGATTTCATACTTATTCACAAAGAGAAAGCTATAGGTTTAATTAAAAGGAAATATGCATGGTTTGGTATGCTGAGGAAAATAAATTCAAGCAAAAAAGAGGAATGAGTAGCCGGCAAAAATAAATTTTGATGAATAGGTAGAAATTGTAATTCCTAAATGGGCAAAAATAGGTAATTAGTTTGTGCCTAGTAGGCAGATTGTGTAATTCCCTCCATGAAATTATCAGTTTTTATCATTTGTCCGAGTATTGCCTATATATAAAAATCAATTTTTATGAGCTTTGGACAGTCAAACCACGCCCAAAAAGGTAATTTGGCTTTAATAGCGTTTGGTAAGGACAAGGTTATCACTTGCCTGAAGGTATAGACAAAATACTGATTCTCTATAAACCTGAAAAGGAAAATAAAATAAAAACAAATAATGGGGAAATAGAGAAACAAGCAGGAGAAAGCTTCAATTCAGCTCACAATCTGAAGACAAATGTTGATACTTCTCTTTTCTAGTTTGATCTGTAAGTCAAATATGGCGTCCTTTTTCATAATATTGTACTACCTCTACCACTATGCAGATGTAAGGAAAAAGGGAAACTTTTAATTGTGTTATCTTTTTTAATAGCATATATTTTATAGACAAAATTAGCTAAAGATTTGATTTTGAGAACTGGGTTCTTGAATCTTGGTTGGTTATACATTTATTGCCTGAACTCTGTTTGAATATTTGGATTTTGGGGGAATTTGAGGTTTATTGACTTTGCATGTAATGTTTTTGCTCATTCATTTCTAATTTATAGTAATTTTTGCTAACTTAACATGTATTATAGAAAAGATTTTGCACACATATAGGAAATTTAAAGAAAAAAATTTAGTGGCATTGTATTAGGAGGTGCACTTCACTGTCTTTAAATCTTGTTTTTTTGTCCGGTTTGGGGCCGACTAATCTGGATTCGCATTGTGAAGTGCATTTTGGAGGTAAAGGGCTCCCTACCGAAGGTGATGAACGGCGGTTTCATTCGTAGGGCTTGAATCTTTAGGGGTACTTACCCACCCACCACAACCTGAAACCTCTGTATTTGGTTTCCCGCATGGACACTGTCTATCAACTTCAAATTGGCTATCAGTGGACATGATCTATGTTCGAGTAGGATTTTTAATGAAAAGGAGACAGTGGATTGTGTCTCATTTTTCTTAAGAAAATCATGTGTGACCAATTGACGTTTTTCTACCGTCGAAACAAATTTGAGTCCTGTTAGTAAAATGGAGCACAGTTCTTGTTTCCTAGACTGTTCGCAAAATAAGGAATCATGAGAAGCTGCAATTTCAAGTTGATGATTTTCTTAAGAGATGAATGATAATGGATTGAGTATAGATTATGTGGTTGCTTGGTAACATTAGCTACCAAGCATTACACCCCCTTGGGGTGCAGCCCTTCCTCGGACCCTGCATGAACGCGGGATACTTTGTGCACCGGGCTACCCTTTTTTGGTAACATTAGCTAAATTCTTAAACAGTCCATATTATCACTTTGGGCCATCTTGATTGATTTTTATTATTCAAATAAAAAGTGTGCAAAAGTGAACTTCTTTACTCTCTTTCTTCTATGGTCAAAGAACTTCTTTTATTGGAGATATTGTAGTTGAGCTCTAAATGAGTAAATGGTGCTCGGAACAAGACGGCGACATGAAGGGTCACTTTCTGAAACTTTTTCCCTGATAGGTATGATTAGAAAAACAATCGCATCCCAGTTGCAGATCCATTTGGTTGCCCATTTAACAAGAACTGTTCTCTAGTCCTTAGCATTACCCTGTGTAGCCTCTGAGTAAGTTAACTTAAGAAAAGGAAAGATATCCATAAGAATAAACGAAATCAGTTTTGTCTTTATTTTACATATGATAATAAAGGCATTAGACTTGTTTCCCATATTCATTTGTTCGAAGTGAATCCGGTGGACCTTAGCTGCCGGTTGAGCAAGCAGTGGCAATGATTCTGAAATAAATACACTTTTTATTATCATTTAACTTGTCACAGAGTCCATAAAAGCAACTCAAAAAGAAATTCACAGAAATTTACTTGTCCTGCCTAGGAACATATTACTTGTAATGTGTTATATGTATTGCCTATTAAATATTTGATGCTGTTTTCTGGGTATTTTGAATTGTGAAATACCTATGGGGTAATGGGCTTCAGCATTCAAATTAATCTTTTAAACCACTGAACTGAAATTGCCGACTGGCTGTACTTCTTCTTAAGTTTCTGGTGATGTCAAAGTAGCGTGCATCACGAAGTATTTAATTTTGAGAAATCTGGTGAAATATTACACATAACACCAGTTTGTACATGATGTACTTAATTCAATTGTTCGGAAGGATGGTGATGAGGGTTGTTATATGTGTAACCTAAACTACGGTTGTTATGCTGTTGTTGGTGTCAATGTTTTCCTGAGAATGCTGTGTTTAAACTAATTAGCTTTGTTTATTTTAAGTTCAACTTATACCTGTCTAATTGTTTTCTCACACCATTAGTGATGATGAACATTTGGCCTTCAAGAAAATGCATGAATTTTCCGCAGTGGATGGCTTTGTAGAGATAACCGAATCCTTGGCCGAAATGATAAAGTTCATTGCAAACGAGCCCGCGGCCGGGCTTATCTACATTCAACAGCATACCCAGAATGCAGTGCCTAACCTTATTAATCTCAATAACAATGTTGAGGAGAAATCTCGTCAAGTGACTTTGCACACAGCAGATTCAAAAGATTCTATCATCATTGTCAGGTCAATGAAAGAGTCTGGCTTTCCAATTGCTAATGAAATGATTAAAGATCTCAGACATTCTCTAGCTGTCATGTCCGAGAAGCAGCCGAAAAGAGGATTTATGAGTAGACCAAGTTCAAGTTTCCGGATAGGGAGAAATATCTCTTGGAATCCTGCTACTTGGGGTCATAATACAGGTCCAGAACAAGACGGTGAGAGGAATGCTGGTTATATTTCAAACGTTTTCAGGTCGGCAAAAGAAAAGGCTAGTAGCTTCAAGTGGCCTCAGTTGGAGTCTATAGAATCTAAACCAGCCAAGAATGAAGCATCTTTATCTAACAAAGATGAGCAATCTGCGACCTGTTCTAATGATGCGCTGTCAAAGCCAGATGCCAGCTCTTGCTCGAGAGGACAAAGATGAAGAGTTTTCGTTGTCAAGTCAAAATGCCGACGAGCTACAAGAAGTGCAGGTAAATAAAAGCATGTCCCTTGATCAAATTCTGTCTGTATCAGAAAATTAACAATGAGGAGTTTAGGTTGAAAGAGAAGCAAAATTTGAAGAGTGGTTGGGAGGATGGGCAATCATAATGCTGGTCCTGGAGAAGAAGATAATTAACAGTAAAGGGCTTTAGCTTGATATAGCTTTGAACCTGAAACAATTCTTTTTCTCTGGAAGGGACTTCACTTGTACCATGTTTGACGGATCTTTGTACTAAAACCGGAAATGTGAAAATGAGAGATTATCACAGTGTTCAAAGGAGAAGGGAAAAAGAAGCTTGAATCTACAATTTATTCTAATTGTCTTTGTACCTTGAGGAATCTATCTTTGTAAATTGCGTTTAGTTTATTCTCCGGATCCTTGTTTGACTGTCAGATTCATAGTTCAAAATGATAACAACCCTAAATCCATAAGCAGCTTATGCCATTAATCAAAACTCTTACCCGTGTATTTTGCCTATCAATCTCAAGGGATTGGCCTTGGTGCTACTGCTTTTCTTTTCGTCTCTTGTCTATTGGAAACAATCTCTCTATCTTCAAGGTAGGTGTAAGGTTTGCATACACATTACCTTCCCCAGACCCTACTTGTGCGATTACGCTGGGTTTGTTATTTTTGTAATCTCAAGGGATTGGCCCAGTAGTCAAAGGTCAGGTGTAAATTACCCTGATGTATAATCTGCTTATAGATCTTAGCATTTCCACCCAAGTAGCTGCAATGTGTACAATTTTACACTTCATATTTTCTTGAAGTATATGGGAGCAGTTCAATGAACAGGAATTCCTTTTGCATGTGACCTCACTTGAACTTGCATCTAAGGTAAACCGCTAGAATTCCAATTTATATTGCATATTTTCCACTGCAATGAACTGCAACTCCATCTAACTTATGTCACCAAAGGTAGATCTTTTAACTTGATTTATCAAGATTTATTATATATCGGCTTCAAATAATTGGTGTAACATGTGCAACGATATGGTTGTGGCGCGAATTACTCTAGTGCACCTACGTTATTCTGCTGTGCTAGCCTGCGCCTTATGTTGTGGAAGAATTGAGCTTATTGCCCAGCTTGTTATTGGAAGATAGCGATTGGTTGTAGCATTTAATCCCGCAACTAGAAAAGGATACCTTCGGCGTAACTATGGTCTGACCTAATGTCGAGCAGTCGTTGTTGCCAGTAAATTATTTAAAACCATGGAAGATGGGATAGTCATAACTGTAGTTTAATTTTACAATATCAAATCAAATTTCTCCGTTAGAACAAGTAATTTATCTTATTTCTAAGATTACAATTTACAAATCTCACTTTTTACGAGGGATGGCAGTAGATATCTCTGCGGTCATTTAGTAGTACAAAAAAGACCTAATATTGTAAAAATATGGAATATGTACATTTTCCGGATCGATATTGCTTTCAGTGCACTAATTTCGTTTCCCCCTCACTCGGACAAGAGAGAGAGCTCCACCAAGAAATTGGCACCTCACAATTCCAGAATTCCTATACTAACTTCCTAAAATTGATATATACAAGGGGATTACAAGGCCAAAGAATGCCTTTAAGATATAAATCAGTGGAGTTCTTGCTTCCACTGGTTTTAACCCACTGATTGAGATATGAAATATGTACAGCGCTTGAAGACGATGAGTAGAGAGCAAATAAGTTGAGCTGAAGATAGCATCCTTAGCTGCTGCTAAGCATTGTCACCTATAACTAGATCCCAATCGCCTGCAAGCCACAACATCAAGGTCGAAAATCAGATCTATGTTGCTGTAAGTTTTTTGCATTGGCATAAATCTGGGTGCTTTTCAAGAGGAGCTATTACAACACAATCATACAAAAGATATTACAGTTCTTATTAACAATGCTAATTTGCTATTACAAGAACTAAGAAGAGTATAATACTAGAATATAAAGATGCCCAACTACTGTTATTTTAATGAGCAAAGGGAAAAGATGGGATAAAGATAATTACCATAGAAGAGCCAAGTAATGCAAAGTTTCTACTCCCACAACATCTATGTTTTACTTTTACCAACAACCAGAATTTGCGCTTGGATCCGAAGCACATGTAGCTGTGGTATCTTGATAAGTATTTGATGCATGGATAGAGCCACTACCATTAGCCAATATTATTCCTCCAACACTAGGATTCGGAGGGGTAGAACCAGTGACACCAACCCCAGACTTATCACCAATGCTTGACTTTGGAAGCGCAGATCCATAACTGCTACCCAGTGGTTTAGACCCAATGTTGTTATTTACGAGAATATGCGAACTTGGAGGAAGTGCAGATCCCTTATCGCAAGCTGGGAGAGACGCCAAATTCTTATTTGCCAGAGGCATAGAGCTAAAGCTGCTGCCGACTACATTAGTTCTAATATCCCCAGCAGATAAAGTGGTTCCACTGCCTCTGCCAACTATTTTAGCCTTTCTGAGAAACAAGTTTAAAAGGGGATCCATGAAAAAACTGAAATTTCAGTCTGAAAAAGAAAAAGAAAGGACATACTAGAGGAAAGAAATAGGAAAGAGGAAGCTAAAGAGAGAGGAAACGACTCATACCTGATTAGTTTTTGCTTGAGAGTGGTTGCTCTTGACTTTGCAACACCTTATTAAGCACAAAATATAAGAAAATATTAGGCTCAAGAATGATATATGCCACATCTGCAAAAAGAGAANGGGCTTGCTTCTTGGATAACAGGGTATAAACATGAAGCTCTTGCTGGTTATTAAAATGGGACTGAAGCTGCTGAAAAAGTGACTTATTAGAATGATGTTGCTCAGTCCTCGTCGCATCATGATTTGTCTTTTGTGATCCATTAAAAGTCACCCTCAAAATTGCTGCTGACTTAACATCAGAATGCTTTCCAGCAAAAATTACAGAAAAGCTGCCAAATTCCAAGTCTGGCTCCCTAAATAAATCCTCAAGAAGAGAAGCATAAGAATAAGCATTCTTTGATGGTTTTTTCTCCACCTTCAAACGCGATGTTCTAACACTAGCATGGTGGGCCATGTTTGCAGCTTCTCTAAGCCCAGTAAGAAATGCTCCATGCATAGTGGCTGGATAGCGCCTAGTAGTGGCCTCACCAGCAAAGAAAAGTCTTCCTTCCCCCACAGTTTCTGCTAAAATGTCATAGTCATCACCTGATGCCCCCACTGCAACATTTGAGTAGGAACCGAAGCTGAACGGATCACTACCCCATCTTGTACAGACAGTTTGGATGGGCTCTGGGACTTCAATTCCTTGTGGTTCATATATACCTGATCATAATGCCCAAAATCTCATTACCACATTAGCTCCATGACTATAAGAAACATTGATACTACGCATCATGAACCAGAAACTTTGAAGAGGGCACTAAGTTTTGTCTTTTACTAAATTGATCCATATTCAAATATGTATGCCTACTCAGCAGCAAAATAAAATGGCAGGCGATGAAATCAACTCTCAAGTATAGAGTTGAGACGAGAAATGCAATACGAGTCTTTAAGAGGTAAAACTAAAAGATTTCTCTCTTCTTCCAATATGTTTCTCTAGTGTTCCCCTGTTTTAGGGACAGACTGGAAGTTGAACAAAGCAACATTACCATGTAGGGGTTATCAATTTTCTTTTCTACTTTAAATACTGTAAGCTCTTTCTTTTTTGTTGATACGTAAACAAAGGCTAGTTCTTAAAGCAGTATACACATAAACACCCTTTGTCAAAATTCCATTATCTACTTCTCCTTGAAGTTGTCATCTCGAACCGAGATAATTTTTCCCAAAATTTTCATTACTCTATAATATCATATAACCAAATATTTAAAACAAGAAGACGTCTTTATTATACTACTGATACAAGTAGAGATTATGGCTATCTATGCAGGTGCTTATATTCCAGAGCTTCTCATTTCTCAAACAAGACGATAGATAAATGCTTCAAAATGAAACTCACTGAATATGAAATGGTCATGGCACTGAGACTATTTCAATAGCTTAACTCTAGACCAAGATAAGATGAATCCACTCCTAAAGAAATTCTTTCTTATATTTTCTGCTCACTACCTTGAGAAAAAGAGAAGAAGAATAAGACTTTGGTATATAGAAAGCAAAGTTACCATGGAACATGGCTTTTACCTCTTAAAATATGAAGAACTTTCGTCACTGCATCAGTAGGGGGCATGATCTCAAACTTGTGTGCAGCTTCTCCAGCGACTAAAGCTAACAATAAGGGCCCACCAGCAACTGTTGCATAGCTAAAGAACAGAAAGAATTCTCCCCGACTAGTAGAATCATCAACAACATGACCAAACATATCAACATTGGTGTCCCAAAACACATATGGGAAAAGCATTGCAACCTTATTTAACAATCCAAACCCCAATCTTTTTATTGCATCCAACTTCCGTTGAGGCAATTCTGGGATGAACTTGATAGAACCACTCTTCAAAACTCCAAGAGGAACGGTGCACAATGCCATATCTCCCTCGAATACTTGGCCCCCAGCAACTACTTGCACACCTTCACTACCATAACGAATGGAATGCACAATTTTTCCAAAAATAATAGGCACATTTTCAGCTAGTGCCTGAATTAATCTTCCATTTCCACCAGGCAAAAAGCAGTGATCCCCTCCCATATCATAGATGTCATCTTGGTCCCAAAATGCCAATGAAAGATTAGAAAGCAAACCTGCATTTGCATATTCCAGATTCGCCAGATGCCAGTTAAACAAGCTCATCTCCTCATCATTCACCGCATCACCCAAAACCTCTCGGAAAGTCTCCAATGCCGCTCCAAGAGAAACATCCTGAGAAACTTCTTGCCTGAACTTGCTTGCCTTATCCAAAAGCCTGTTATAAGCAGCCTCCACCTTTTGATCCAAATCCTTGTCTACTGGCTTTCCATCAGCACGATAGAGCGGACATTCACCTCTCACCTTATGAAGCGTATACGATAACTGCCGTGCCAAGATACCAAGCGGATTCCCTAGAGTACCTGTCAAAACACTCCCTCCTAAATCAGCAGCTGCCACCTTATTCCCTCCTTCCATCTTTTTCGTATACACCCTTCCGCCTGCACGCTTTCTTCCCTCCAAAACAATAACCTTAAAGCCAAAAGACATCAGCTGCCTCGCAGCTGCCAACCCAGCAAGTCCTGCCCCGATAATAATCACTCTACCCTTACTTGGCTCAGCTAAAATCCTCTCCTTAATGGCTGGCGCAACCCCAAAATTAACATACCCGCGTGATACCAAATAGTTATAAGCAGAATCCAATAACCCATAAAAATGTTTAGGTATAACATCAAGAAACATATCTTTTGTCACCCAACTTGACACATTTTCACGCCATTTTGTAATAATATGATTTCTGATTAAAATGTAATTAAGCTGTTCTATCCCACCAACTACAGAAACAACCCCAGCTTCAATTTCATCATCAGTTAACACGTCAGCTGGAAAACCAGCAGATAATGCAATTAAGGCCTCGGAAGTTGAATCTTTGTTTATACTAATAATCTCATCAGAAACAACTTGTGTTCTTGCACTTGAGCTACTACCAACATCAGAATTAAGGTTTTTATTCGAAAAATTGGAACTTTTTGTTCTTTTCTTCCTGGGGGTAGAGAGGGGAAGAGAATGATTTGGGATTGAATCGGAATTGGGATTAGGGTTGGGGTTAGGGTTTGGAATTGAATTGAAATTGGGAGTAGAATTGGGGTTAGAGGTTGAGTTAGGGAAATAAATTGGGAATTGGAGGGAATTGTTATTAGTGATATGAGGGGAAGTTTGATGAGAATTTTGCTGATCCATTACTGTTGTGTTTTCTGCAACGGTTTCAGAGTAGCGAGAGGAAGAAGAAGGAAGAAAGGGTGATCCGATTTGTAATATATTCGGGTCAGGAGAGCTGGGTTCGGGTTTGTGGATTCTTGGTCCTAACCAAATGAAGAATAAAGAAAAGAAGAATTAATATAGCCGCCCCCAGTCAATCTTAAACTAAAAATAGGTATAATATATATAATTTATACTTAATATGTGTATAATCAATATATAATTTATATATCTATATATATATATATCCCCCAGTCAATCTTAAACTAAAAATAGGTATAATATATATAATTTATACTTAATATGTGTATAATCAATATATAATTTATATATCTATATATATATATATCCCCCAGTCAATCTTAAACTAAAAATAGGTATAATATATATAATTTATACTTAATATGTGTATANACCATTTATGACCAACTGGCTTTATATCAGCATGTGTTTGGACTACTGGTCCAAAGACCTCTCTTTTAGCAAGTGATTCCAATTCTGATTGAATTGACTCTTGCCATTTTGGCCAATCAGATCTTTGTCGATATTCTTCGACAGATTGGGGTTCAAGATTCTCACTATCTTGCATAATGTTAAGTGCAACATTATATGCAAAAATATTATCCACCACTATTTCAGATCGATTTAAATTAATCTCATCACCAGTAGAACTTATTAAAAGTTCCTCACTCACTTGAGTCTCGGGTTCATTGATTTCTTCAGGAATCCCAGAACTAATCAGATCTTGGGTCTCTTCAGGAGATCCCTTCATAATATCATTTTGATCATTT